AAACCCTCTGCAACAAAAGCAATACCCCAAATAGGTTCTAGATGGGACTTCACCAGCTATCCATCAGCACTACAGCACCCACAGTGCCTAAATATTTAGGTTATCCCCTCTGAGGTGACATAACCTTTCACCTAGGTTATCTCTTCACTGTAGAGCAGGAACTGTTCCTGTGCTGCAGTTGCTAACACTTTTGTAAACTAACAGTTCACTGGGGGCTGGGGTCTAGTTCCTGTTGAAACAAAGCACATCTCAGGTACTGCCTGAACATGTGACATGCTGATTACATCTGGATTCCCAACAATTTAACAATCTGCAGCACCAGTCAGCCTAGCGACTTCTGTCTAACACTGCACACAAAGCTCCTGTGTCTTCTACAGCCCTTTTCCCAGGAACCATCTAATTAGCCTACAGACATCTAGCAGCTCTTGCATAATTCTGCTTTTAAATTAATCTCTTCAATCAAAATCAAAACAGTGGCAAGCAAGAAATCTACTCACATACCTTTAATTCAGACAGATGATCCTCTTCTGTCAGTGAACTGACCAGATTCCTATAGCCTGGTTCCTGCAGAAATCTTCCCACCAGATTCCTATAGCCTGGTTCCAGCAGAAATCTTCCCACCATGAGCATGCAACTGTGCTTTGTTATCTTCACCAAAGATACTTTTGAAGGCAGATTAAGAGCATTTTGGAGAAAAAATGTGTCTTCATAATTTTGCATTGGGAAACTTCTGGTTAAGAGTTGGAAAAAGAAAAAAAGAAAAAAAAAGTTCATTTTTGCAGATGAAAAGATTCAGATTCAAAGGTTAATGTGAAAAAAAAAATGAGATATAAACTTTTAGTAACAAGAAAACACTGCTACAAAGTGGTCATTTCTATTGTCTAGAGGTGGTCTCAGACATTCCCCTAAGAAATTACATGTGACTTCTTACCACAACGTGAAGTTATAAAACTGGCATTTAATTGGAACTTTATGGAATTATGTATTCTGGACCTTTTAAAATTATATTGAAAATCTGATAAATACATTGTTCTATGGTAGCTATAGCCTTATGATTTCAGGGGGCTCTAGGGGGGTTTTGTTTGCTTGTTTGTATTGTTTGGGTCTTTTTAAGCTTTGAATCCCTCAGTATTCACAACAAACTCAGCTTCATTTTAAGACTTCTGCAGTGACTACTGCAAAGCTTCTTAACTTTTATGCTATAATGCAGTCAATGTATTTATAGTTCTTGAAAATGTCACATGGCAATGTTATGCCAGGGACAGCACATCTCAGAGGGTCCTTAATATGTCTGCATTGTTGTATTCTATTTGTAGAGGCATTTTTGTCAGCAGCAATGGAGAAACAGAGCTGCCTCCGCAGTTCTTTCAATAACATTCAAGCTTATAGTTGACCCGAGGGGCTCACATTATGACATCCATATTTAATTTAACAATATATCATATTTTCATGGACTACAGTATTGCATTATAACCTCACTGCTTTATGTGCATGAGACTGCTGCAGAAGCAGGCTTGTACGAATCTACAACACAGACTAAATGGTTAGTTCATGAGAACAAGGTCAAAGTGTAGAGTGATGACAATATATAAAAGGTCTTATAACAACTCTTAGTAATCTAAGGGAAAAAAGGACAAAAATAAGCTCTCCAGGAAGGACTGTATTTAAATAAAAGTGCATTTTTTAAAAATCCCGTTAACTGCACCACCTTGCCTACTTTCAATTTTAGTTCTGCTCTACACTTCCCATTGCAGTCAGCGTTCTCTGCATCTTGTTTCTGCTTCATTCAAGCATATTTAAGGAGAAAACTAACACCAACTGAAAATTAGGCTTTTAACCATCCCTTTATCCTCACAGTAATTTCTATTTGCTCTGCATTTTTTACTGTTGATCTTCTAGCTGACTCCAAATTAAATGGTCATATATTCTCTATTTACTCCCAAATCTAGTCCTGCTTGTTCACATTTATTCCTGCTCATCTCCCTCTTATTTGGCATTGCCTGTATCACATCACATTATCCTCATCTTCTTTACATTCCATTCCAACCAACTTCAACTCTTTCCAATGCCTCCTTCTTGCAACATAAAATTAAGTTAATTCATTCTTTCCTCCCTATCAACATTATTAATAATTTTCTACCAGACAGATTATGGATTAACTACATTGGTTTTCTCCAACAGCTGTGTATGGCAATAGCTTATCCTCTATTTTGCATGCTCTCCTCCATATGAAACTTTATGATATTCTATCATCTCTTTTAGAAGGTTCCACTTTTCAAAACTAAGTAGTTTCAACTACCTTTTTACTGGCAGCCCTGATCTTTGGTCTAGATGTCATCCTTAACAGACATTACATAAAATTAACGAAGAGCAGCCGTAGTAAAAAGCATTTCACTACTCTGATCCATGTTCTTTTCTTCCCTCTCATCCAGCTTTCTGTTTGTCATCTCTTCATGCATTGTATCTAAATTAGATTTTCAGTTCCCTAGGGTAAGAAGACATCATTTTCATTTATCTGTAAAGCACCATGCATGCGTATGGCTCTGCAGAAATGTTAAATATGTATACCCACATTTATTAAAATATTGATGCTTTTATCTATTCATATAGTGCAGAAGCAACATGGCAGCAGTTGTACCCATTTAAAAACTATTTTCCATCTATAATAGCTAAAATGTGATGTATTTATAGTAGCTGCATGCTGTTCACTCTCTTATTTTCTTGTTCACATATACATTGCTCTTTCTGATCTTATTAAGTGAAAATAAAAATCTCTATTTTCTCTGATGGCATGAATATTTTTTTCTAAAAATAAAGCATAGAGGTAACATACAGTGGTTTTATTGCTTATCCATACTGCATGATCACAGTCTTACTGGGTGAAGGTTGCTGTACCACCTCAGGACTACTCCTGCCCTCCAAAATCTTGTAGTTTAAATATTCCTAATGATAGTAAAAACTTCAGGAATTTTGGACACCAATATTCTTGCTACTTAGCTTTAGAGCCATCAAAGTGTCTGATTTTCAGAGTACCTGAGCATAGCTCTTTCTAAATCACAAGATCTTAGAAAGGGAAGACCCTTATTGTTTTGAAAGTTCTGGTTGACAAAAATAACCCAATTAGTGCAAATATGTGTTCTAAAAGCTAGGAGAGTTCTTAATGCAAAAAGACAAAATAAGGATATATCAATCCAATTAAAACATATTAAAATGTCTCTAATAACAAGTGCAGTAACAGTCTGTAGATAGACTCTCCTTTGTAGTCAAGCATGATTATCTTTTGGTTAGGTAAAAAAGCAAGTAGGCATGGCCAAATCCCACAGCAGAATCCACACAGGCCCCTGTTCTGACCTGTACTAATAATTTCAAAAGTTAGCTCAAAAGATAAGAAATTATTGTAGACACTATATGCAAAGCAATTAAACGGTTCTGCTTCGTGTAACACTTAGTAAATGGTTAAGCATTTAAGCATTGAATAAAGTCAACATCTTCAAATATCCTGCTTTCCAGGGTATCTGAGCTGAAAACTTGAAATTGATTGCTCATTCGTGGGTCAGTATCTGAGGAACAGCCCTAACAAACTGTTTACTCAAAGTGGCAGGAAAGATGTTACATGGGGACAAAGTTATAGGCATTTTTTCAGAAAGTATCTTACAGCTGATGGATTTGATATTTATATTATCTTTGCATAGATGGACCTGTTTCAACCAATGTTCCACCATGCCTTTTACTAGATAAAACGATAAACACTGATCCAACTTAATGTCTGACTGTATATGTAACTAAACCTAAGTAAGGTTGCACTGATTACAGTCAACGAACATGCATATTTAAAAGCTTTGCTGCACTGAACAAATGGCAAAGGTTCATTTTAAAAGAAAAGAGGGACTTTTTACAGGGACAGGTAAAGATAGGACAAGAGGTAATGGCTTTAAACTTAAAAAGGGGATTTAGGTTAGATACAAGGAAGAAGTTCCTTACTATGAGAGTGGTGATGCCCAAAGAAATTGTAGATGCTCCATCCCTGGCAGTGTTCAAAGCCAGGCTGGATAGAGTCTTGAGCAACCTAGTCTAGTGTGAGGTGTCCCTGCCTATGTCAGAGGTGTTGGAACTAGATGATCTTAAGCTCCTTTCCAACCCAAACCTTTCTGTGATTCTATGATTCTATGAAATTAAGGATAAAGAATAAAATAAGCAAAACTAAAAAAAAAAAAAAACCAAAAAAAGGCATGAAGATGGAAAAATGGCTACAAAAAACTATTGAACTATAATATGACATTCATGAATGTGATTACTTTGGGCAAATATAACATGGAGACTAGATATTATCTAAGTGAAACAGCATTTTAAAATATAGTCCACTTGATTCATAGTGAGAAGGTCTAGTCTTTGTATATTACCAACAGAAGGAATTCCCAGAAGGCTGAAAATTGGGTTAACTTTATTTCTATCAAAACTAATGGAAAAGCATGTTTCAAATGAAAAAAGAGCTTCACCAGTGCTGAGCACTTTTGGCCATCATGACATAAAGGTAGACGCTGAGATACAACAACATAATGACCTCATACAGGTAGAAATCATCACAAGGAAGTAATTTTGTATGGGAGGTTGTATTCTGCTCTAAGGATATTATGAGATGCAATGGTCATATTTGCAGGCGCACTCAACTTTGCACCCTTCATAATGAAAGTATGAATGATAAGTACTTCTGAAGATCAGTGTAGTTGCTTTCCTCAATGAAGAAATATGGCTCTACAAAACTGAGTTTAAAAATAATGTATGTGTGGAGCACCTTTTCATCTGTTTCAGCCCCAAGATGCGGGAGCAGAATTAATACGGCTTGCTTTCCTTTCAGCTAAACATGTATTGGGGTTTTTCTAACCACATCCCTTCACTCCGATTTACAAGAGTTTTAGCTTCAAGAATCATTGGTTATTGCCCAATGCAAATAAGCACAAAGTAAAATTATATTAAGTTTGCACAATTGATCTTTCATCATTTTAAATGGTACCTTTTAAAATTTCCTGTAAAATCAGCCTGAAATACTCCCATAGTTGACTGCCATCAAGTAGTGCAGGGTCACTTTGGGAAAACCCATTCTCAGTGATATAAATTATAGGGTTATTATATGTATCCTAGAAAAAGAGAGAAGAAGTTTTATTCAGAACAGATGTAAGAAAGCCCATAAAATCAGATGCATTACCCTCTATCTTTTCTAAGCTACAAACTAAAACTAGTTTTCATCAAATTGCACTGACCCTATTAACTTAATTTTCCATGTGCTGACCTTTTATGACTAACAATGGAAAAGCAAAACTGTGCAAATATCCATGAAGACAGTGAAATGACTTATTTTAATGAGAAGACTAAAATATCTTTCCTGCATTAGCATCTGCTTATTGTCACTGCTCCTTAACCCCTTGGTACTGGCAGTCACTTCATGTCCCATTGCCAGGAGTAGCTGCGTGCCAGGAAAACCTTACTGTTGGCATCAGAAAGATGATTTCTGGACTTCAAAAGATGGTATAACACTGGTGTGTCATTTCAAACTGTAAAATAGCTGTCAAGTACAAAGGCAATAGGAAAACACTAAAGCTTCTACATTTCTATCTAGCATGGAATAATTAACAATCCCAAGGTGACTTTTTTTTTTTTATATATCTTGTACAATGTCTTATGCCATCCAGATGTGCTCCTCAAAAACCCCAAATCACCAATATTACACACTGGATTCTTAGATCCCTTCATTGGCCAGCTAAAGCAGTAAAATGGTCCTGTGAGCTATTCCTTCATATTAACACGAAAGTCAGTGCAAACCTCATGGTACAACAGGCAAGCATAAACACCCAGCTACAACAGGCCACATTCAGATTCACCGTTCATTGGAACACTTAGCTTCTTGTCTGCATTTTCTTGGTCTTAGCAGTTCAGAGTATAGAAGTCAGCAGTACCAATGATGATAATATTTTCCTCTTTAATGAATTCTGGAAGACTTGTTGATAAGTAACTCTGCTTTGAATGCTTTGCAGAAATATCGGACTTCACGATGGCTGGATATTCATCATCAACAAATGTTGCCCTGAAAAAATTACCTAAGTTAAAGAACAAAAAGCAAAAGTCACTTTTTGATTTGCTACAGAGGTTCTACTAATCTCAGTTCAGAGCTATAGACACAAGCCCACTTTGTTTTGTCCAAATATCTTGTTGCAACTGTGCCAGGTTTTAGCATGAGCTTTTAGCACATTATAAGCATCCTTGTAAGCTCTGGTACCAATACTGAGGGTATACCATTTTCAGAGCCACATATAGGAACAACATAAGGCTCATTAATAGTGATCACCCAGCCTCCAAATGTTCTGAAGCAATACTTTTTTCATGAGTATCAAAGGTCTAAATGATCTTTTCAGATTCCCCAGTCACCTTCATCTTGTAAGGACTGAGGTAAGCCAAAAGTGATGCAGGGAGCAGGATACAAGGTTATCACTGATTTTGCTGTAATAATTGACTCTTGAAAATATTAAAAGAAACAAAAAAGGGTTAACTTCAAACATTTTATATTTTAACACATGAAGAAACCTCACTGCACATTTTCTCTCTTATGAGATGCAAATATTTTCTCTCAACTGCATGCTGACTACTGTTATAAGACTCCAGAGTTGGCAAAAATGCTCAGCACACAAAATCTTCCAAGCAGACACATAAAATGAAATGAGGATGCAAATTTTCAAAATAGATCAGTGGACAGCAACTCCCCAGGAGAAACATAATTCTGATGGGTGCTGGTCACAGGAAAATATAATCCTTTCATTTAAATGCCTGAATGGCAGCCTGGCTCCATGTACAAGATGCAAGTATGTTGGAAAAATCCTGGCACTTGAGAGCCTTACAGGTAGATTTGTTCTAATGAAAGCGTTTATCTACTTAAGAACTGTGTCTTAAAAAGTGCATTGCCACACTCAGCAAGGTAACTAAGGTGACCTGTTGTGATTTCAAGTTGGTTGGCTGGGTGAGCTGTTCACTCTAGACTGCTCCATTCTCTACCACTGTCTGTACTAGCATCAAGACAAGATACTGTCAATGCATTCAATATTTTGCAGTGGTGTGAATTCAACAGTTCCCTCATTAGATCTATAGGACATTTAAGGCTTTTTGTCAGGCTTTACTAGTTTTTAAATAGAGTTTAGGGCACTGATATCTTTAGCCACCAAGTTGAATGCCTTGGCATTTGCTTATTCAAGAAACCAACTCTCTTCCTTTTGGACTGCTACTCCTGCAAACTGCTTAGTCCCTCTAACTGCAAGAAGGAATTAGCTCACCTCTCTAAAAACTCATGACTTCCTACCTTTTTGGTCCCTTCTTGATAAGACAGAGATCAACTTTAATTTCCTGGATGTGTTGTTAAAGCTTGCCAGCACTGAGGATGTATTTCTAGGGGCTTAAAAGGAATTCACCCTCTGCTCAGATTTAGCAGTGGCTGACATGAATATGTTTCCTAGAGGACTATTTTTATGCTGCCGAGAGGTCACTGTAAGTTTAAATATCAGGATACTTTAAGCTCTCAAATAGCCATTTTTTATTTTGCTTGCATCCAAACAAAACTACATTGCTTTTAGGCCTTCTGAAAACACTAGATATTGCTAAACACATCGTAAGCTCTGGTTCAAAGACTATCAATTAGCTTGCTCTTTTACTTGAACTATCTGGTTTACTGCAGTAATTGGAAAAGGTCAACAGTGGCCTTGAATTATTATTTGTTAAGCTAACAGGTTCCAGCCAGAAATAGGTCTCCATCACCCTAGTGAAATGTAGAAATCAGTAAGCCTTTGCTTCAGAGACCTGGGCTAAATTATACCAAAGTGTGGGCACATATCCTAATAACACATAGATGTGTACAAAATAACTATCCCAACGTCTTGTTGTATTGAAACCCAGAACTGAGAAAGGTCTAAAGAACTTGAAAACAGCAGAAAGGAGGAGGAGGGTTACTAAGATGCGAAGGTTAACAAAATGTATATTTAGGAGGTTATGGATGGTTTATATTATTATTCTTAAAAGTTTCTGAACCAGAGATTTTATTTAATCCAAAGCAGGAAACCTGTTCATTAATAAATATGTCTGTACTATACTGTACTGTATATTCCCTGGTATTCTCAAGTTCAGGTTACTATGTACTCCTATTTAAAAATGCCAGTACAGAACCCCATGCTATCTTCTTCTTAAAAGTACAGTATTAGACTTCAAATTAACCTAAGTTCAACTGACTGATTGTAAGGATTTCTGTCAAATGTCTTTTTAAAGACAACATTTACTGCAGCAATCAATTATAAACCCCAGATTTAAACAGTGTCTTCTCCTAAACAAACAGGTGTATACACATCCTTTAGCACAGCAAGACTCAACAAGTTTGTTTACAAAGTAATTTACAATAAATCTCACTGGTAATTTGCTTTTCCTTCCAAGTGCAGCACCAGAAAAACACATTAAATTCTGAGGAGATACATGCCTGTGCCCTGAGAATGCACCCATGGAAAAGAGGAAGGAATATACCAGAATTCTAAATTTTGAAAGGCAAATTCTTGCAATTTGTAAGAGAACAAATAAGGTTTGCAAATGTTACTTTTGAACAGGGACCTATTAGACTTTAGTGGGACTGGGTCTGTGGTAACTCTGCTGTTGGGACTACAAGGTCTACTACATAAGCTTAAACTGGGAATAAAGAAATCATTTGCTGGTACAAAATCCTGTTCTAACATATTGAGAGTAATGCTGTGTAGAAGACTAGCATTTCTCATTCTAATTTTCAGATTATAAATTACTCAGTACAAGTTATAACATTTAAATGCAACCAGTTATCATTAATTTTTTACATCTCAATTAAACACCAATACTGGACAAGATTTATGCTTTGTATTAGGAAATGAAGAGAAATAGAACTGCATCCCTGAAAAATGTAAATGTCAAGCGAAATTTTCATATTGCCTCATACCTTCCAGAGTAGCCTGATTTAGTTTCTATGGCTGTATCTGTGGGTCAGCTAGAAGCAGAAATACAGCAGAAAATGTTCTTCTGAGAAAGTGTGTATAAAAGAGGTTTGTGCAGACACCCCAAAATTTGGGGATTATAGACATTAAGGTGCATTTTGTCACTGGAAAGTGAAGGTTTGTTCTTTTCTCTCTTCTCTCATCTTCTCTCCCTATCCTGATTCCCTACTTTCGTGCTGAATTGAGGCATAACATCAAACTCTCTCAGACTCAATGCCTCCACTACTGACAACTCATGTTTAGCAGTTAACTCATTCTGCTCAGGGTACCTCCTAGGGTAAAAATAATTGGACGAAAATACTTTAAAAACAAACTTGGTATAAGTTTTAACCAAAACCCTGACACATCTTAAAAACAATACACCTACAACATCACTACTTTAAAAGATTTTACCCTGACTGGGTTAGAAACAGAATGCATTTAAAGGTTTTCAAATGTCCTATGTCCTAGGTGTGAAATTGGTAGTGAATCACTTGGTGTGAATGATTTTATTTGAAAGGACATTGCTCTAGGTTTCTAATTCTTCACATGCTCTTTGTAAAAATGTTTATACGGAAGATGATGGCCTTTCCATGCTATGCAGTTACAATTGCTTCAACAGATCACTGCACAAGAGAAGTGAACTCCTGCCTAATGAAAGCTGGCCTACTTGGAATTCTTCCAATGCCCTTTCGTTAAATGTAAAGTTCATAATATTAATCAGGCAACTGCTTATACTGGGGATCAAGTGAACATTTTCTGAAATTACAGCTGAGTTTTGTCAAAATGTTAGTTTTCCTTACCAATTGCATTCAGAATGTCTGCTTGCTGGCGTCCACTCTGACATCTAAATAACAAAGCCTATTCAGTAGGCAGCTCTGTGGGGTTGTACAGTGCCTGCAGCCCCAGCTGAACGAATATCAGTATAGGAAAGAAACCACAAGGGCTCAGCCAAATTTAAATTCAACACACCACAGAAAACATTCCAAGTGAAGGGCAAGCTGTGCCAGTAAAAGTGGGAAGCGTACTGTAAATTTTGGTGGCAAAGGAAAAACTTCCATTCAAGCATCTCCAGGATGTTGGCACGGTTTTTGCTGTCATGCTCTGCAGGGGGAAATGACTGGTTGGTCTGTTTGCAGCAGATTCACCAGCACCCCTTTCTGAATTCTTGAAACAAAGGTTCCTCCACTCTCTGGTGAAAATTGTAATCTGTAGGATGCAGAGGGCAGGCTGCTGCCTATTGAGCAGCCAAACTCTATATGACCAAAATTCTACAGACATATACCGCTTCTGATGGTATCTTCCTATCAAGATAGAATAACCTGAAGAGGATTTTCCAAGAAACCCTTTCCCTTTGTAGCCTTCCATCTTTGCAATCTTCAAACCAGCAGAAGAAAAGAATTGCCACAGGAAACACTGCCCCAGAAGTATAAAGATGCATATCTTCTCAGTAAAACTGAGATTCAGAATAGTAGGAAGCAGAATTGAGATTCAGAGTTCATCCAAATCTACTTTGCTTTTTTTCTCCTCAAAACATTATCCTCTCAGCATACAAGAGACCTCTGACAAGTGCTTTGATTCTCACACCATTTTTAGTTCAGCCTCAGTTGCTTTTATTCTTTACAATTATTTTTATTTCTTCTTTCTTCTATTCCCTATGTTCTGCAGGCAAAGCTGCCATTTCCTGTCTTTTCCTAGTGAATGATCTTAATCTTAAATCCATACCTACAGAATTAAAATTAAAAAATCCAGAGTGTAGGAAATTCTATGCCTGACTTCTAGCAATCTGACCAGCCTGTTTATGTGCTATATCCCTTTTCACTTTTACACTGTATGCTGAGAGTGAAAACTTTTCTCTTCAGAGCAGGGACTGACTTGTGTTTGTTACAGAACTAAGTGCAGCTCCTAGCTGAGTCTAAAGAACCCTCTCTAACTTGCTAAAGAAAATATATGGGAAAAATATGTTCCTCTCAGTGCAAAATAGTCAATGTGAAGTTCAGTACATCAGAGTATACTGATTATCTAAACGTATTTGTCAAATAAGGTACTTGTCTGTTGTAAGCCATCCAAAAATATCATGGCTAGGATCCCTGTAAGTATAAACATTCTGATGAAGCAAAACGATTTAGAGTTACAATTAAAAAAACTGGAGTAAGCAAAAAGATACATAGGAAACATGATACTAATCCTTTCCCCAAAGATTGTGCTATCCAAGGGGATCTAGAATATTAATTAGTAAGTTGTTGCAAACCTATTAAAAAATCAACCCATAATTACTCTGAAAAAAGTTGCAATTTCAAAGCTACACTGCAGAATAGCATACTGGATTAATTATGCCAGACTGCAGCAATAACCTTGAATTAAAGCTGCAACCTTCTATTTTTAAGAAACAATTGCCTTTCTGGTTGATGAAACCTGTCGTCCCATCAGGTAACAGACGTGACCAGGAAAGAGAAAAGCAATAATGAGTCAATCCAAGCTGTTTGATACATTTCAAATCTTCCTCCCACAGAGTGTAGCTGCCACAAGCTACATCACCAGTCTGGTTCTTGAAAACTCGATCTCCTCCCTGATGGGTGAATGTGTCCCAGACATTAGGGCCCTTTCCATCTGCATTCCAGCCTTCTGCTTGAAAAACTAAACTTGGTTATTACGCTTTTGACATCAAAAGGCATACGTTGAATGTAAACATTTATCACAAAGTAGGCACAAACCCCTCTAAATCCTGTGAGTAAAATAAGCAGTATTCGCTCCCCACTCCTTATAACATTTAAAGTAACTAGGAGCTGTAAGTTATTAGTATTTGTGTTAGGTTTTCATTTATTCATATTTCCCCTTGCAGCTAATTATTGAAAATCCTGTTTTAAAAACCATTCACAGTTCTGACACTCTTCATACTTCCCTGACCAAAAATCAGATGTTTGCAACTCTTGAGATATTACAGGTTTTCACAAAGGGCATTTTCTAATGCAGCTTCCATCCATAAATGTAAAAGATCAGTCCATATCAAAGAAAGCCTTTAGGGTATGAAAAATACATCCAACAAATAGGTACTTAACGGCTTTCTGGATGTCCTTTGAAAATCCTGACAGTCTGTTAAAAAGAAAGGAATGCCATTATGAGCCATGGCCCTAGGCACATACAAGCTGAATTAATAACGCAGCTCTGCAAAACTTTTGTAATTTACTTAGCCAAATATTCACAGAAATGAATTTTGAACATTCAAAACCCCTGCACCATTTTCTTCACTTTCAGAGTTTTGGGAAATTTCTTTTCAATTCCAAAATTGAGATAGACAAATTACTTTTAAAATATTCAAGATAGAGCTGTTGTCTGAGTTTACACAGTATTAGCATTATGTAGTATTTAAACCAAATAAATGCACCTTTCTTCATGACAAGCTTCTTTGTCTTTCAGAAGCAATGCTGTAGCTGAGGCAAAGATTTCATTTTTAACGTGGAGAGATCCGTAAACTTACACCCCTGCAAAATGTGGTTGTGTAATAAAATTAAAAATAACCCCAAAATGGCCAACCTCACTTACATACAAGATTTTTCAGAGCCCAAATGAATGCACAGTTCCAGGGTTACTCTTTAAAAACTAAAATGACATTGTGTGTTAAAATCATGTATAAATTAAATATTAGTTGGGTTGTAAGATTAATAACTATATAATAGCTACATATCAATCCTCAATAAAAGTGTTTTAATAATCAATTAGTATCATAGAAATTAGAGATGGAGGAGAACTATTAGGAGGTCATTGAGTCCATCCCTTGCCAACACAAGATTGCTCCCTTAAGTATATTCAGTACTTAATACACATCTGTCTTATTAAATCTAAGTTTAATGCAAGGTTAAGCATATTGAAGACACTTAATTTAAAGCATTACTAAAATCTGTAATATCACTTCTATAACCTAGCTTTTCAAAGATCATTGTCACATTTCATGCTCTTTACAGGATTTTATTGCTGCATATGAACACCGCTTCATCTACATTTGGTTGGTCAGTAAATGAAACTCATATGGGACAACCTTCAAAGCAGGTCAAATCTTAGATCCAGACAGTTTGAGTTTCTCTTAATCTCAGATTTTATCACAGACTTTGTGCTCTGTCTGTATGATTTTCAGAAAAACACAGTACTAAAAGTTTTCTACATCCTGCTTTTGATTTTGATTACGCTGGCTGAAATAAACAGTCATTTTAGAGCAGTGCAGGAAATAACAAATATCAGTAATTCTCTGGTGGTATATAGAACTTAGAAGACTTTAAGAGCAGGCTTCCTGTATCAATATGATATAGCTCTTTTTTCACTACAGTGGGAGCAAAGGAAAGCCAAAAGCTACCATAATGGGCAACTAACACACCTTAAGAATCAGCAGCTAGAGCAGGTGAAGAGTTTCAGTTTTTGTCTGCCTTCCTCCAGCAAAGGAGGTGGGAGGGAGGAGGAGAAGCATTTGATTTTCAGCAGACTGACAGTGCTACTCCAGTGGCCATTAGTCACTAAAAAGCCCTGACTGGGGCTGTAGCAACAAACCCACTTTCAAGCACTCCTCATGCTCTTCGAAAAGCCTCTCTGTACAGCCTAGAGTATCTGAGCTAGCTAAATAAAGTGTAGGAAGCAATCTAGCCAAGGCAACAGAAAGCTTCACATAAACTAACATATCCTGCTGAGCCGCAATTAGTCTGCACAGAGCTCTGCTCTGCTTCAACGAACCAAGCTTGCACCTCTAAGCTTGCTCGGAAACCTCCACACTACACAGCACTGCATAGTGCAGACATACCCTGAGTTTTAGTGACCTTTGGGGACAGGAAAGAGCAGTGATGAAGAACTGATTTTACATTTCAAGCACATAGGCAAGACTTAACTACCAACTTATCACATAACATGTCACCAAGTGCTTAATATGAATTATCATGAAGCGTGATGCACGTCCCCTGTTCTCTGCATTATGTAATGCATTCCATTGTTACAATGGAATAAGATAGAATGTTTTCCCATTTAAGTGAAGCTCATGAAACAGGAACATTACTGATCAGAGTATTTAAGTTTTCATGTACTTTTCCAAGTTAGCTTTTCTTCTAATTCAGATGTGCTTTCACCTTTTGGAATGAAATTTTCCTGGCCTGATCTCTGCCCAAAAGGTGACATTTTATTTGAATTAATACAGTTCATCTATTTGACATACGAAAGAAGTGAAGAAAACCACTTTTTCCATTATGATTTTTTTTTGCAATTTTTCCTTCTCTCTCTAAAAAAAAAATAAAAAATTAAAAAAATAAAATAAAATCAAGCCGAGTTGAAATTTAGCATAGAAATGGCCCTCAGTAAGAAGAAGTGCTTTTGAGTGTTCTGGTGCAAATTGATTTTGATTTGACTGAGTCATGAACCTTTGAAATCTGCACTTTGAGCATGCAGAGTACAATTGGTATGATTTTTTAGCACTTTGAAATATACAGAGTGGAGAAGGTTGTGCTGTGCATAAATACATAGCTGACAGTAAAAAATAAAGTACTCTGTCAGCCCTTGCCTCATCCACTGTGTATCTTGTGATACGTGCAGCAACTGATTTTGGAATCTACAAGAACTATAGCTTCAATCATGCTACCTTTAGGTTGGAAGCTACACAGCCACAAAGCTTTCAGGAGGAATTCCCTGTTGTGTTTCTTACTTCTGCAGGAAAAGGGTCATCTGAGTAGTGTCTAGACCACATTATCGATTATTTTTTTTTTATGTTTCTCCCACTCAGAAGCCTTAGGAAAGCTCATTAAAAATACATTAAGAGCACATTAAGGTTGCACATCTAGCCACTCAAAAGGCAGGAAATTATAATGTCATTCTATATGCACACACAATTCTCATTTAAAAAATTAGTTAGTAGAGCTATGTGCATTGCAGGACTCGAGTTAGAATCTGGCCCAGAATATTGATACCCTAGGAACAGTAAGCTCTTCAGTCTATAAGGTAAAGCTAACTGAGCTCGTTAAAAAGTACCAGGCACAGGCAGGTACTCTCACTTTCAGCAATAACCAAGAACTAAAGGCTACATCCTCATAGACAATTTTAGATCTACGAGTCCCATTTAGGTACTGAAATCAATGGGAGTTAAGTGCCTGCAAGCTGCAGGGTATAATATGAGAAAATCAGATCTATATGTATTTTAAAGGTCTCTAAACACACATTTATGAAGGGAGAAACTTTGGGGGTGGTTATGGCTGTAGGTGGCCCTGTACCTTGTGGGTTTACATTCCCTAATCTGACACATATTCTTGTATCATGCTCGACAAATCACTTTATGAGCACCTCCATTCAGTTGGGAACATGATACACATCCCTGGGGGAAGGCCTCCATAAGTCCAACTGTTAACCTCCCAGTTCACTGTTTTTCATGTTCTTTGGAGTTGAATTCCGAACTGGGGAACCCTTATGATTGTCAATGTCTGATGAGATGGCTTTCCCATCCAGTTTTGGAATAGCCAATAGTAATCTACTTAAATTAGCTCTAGAGAAAGAAAATCCTCAAGAACTAATTGGAAAATAACTCATATCTGCTTTTCTTTTTGCCCCCGTTCTCAATAGCTAGTGAAAGGTTTCTCCTCCATTTCTATTACCTAACCATATTTCTAAGATTTGAAACATCTTTTACCCTCTTCTTATTACTCAGGCCAGAAGTGTTTATGCAGACATGACACATGGATTTACATCAGATGTAGCATCTACATAACACGGCAAACACTTTCCTTTCTGAATCCAGACTTTTCATTCACTTAAAACTTCCTTAACACTTTGACAGCTAAAAATTTACACCTTCAATTTGATATGCTATTGTAGCTGCACCCCAAGCAAATCCAACTGGAAAAGCAATATCATCTGACACTGGCTCCAGAGGACAGGCTAATACACAGCATTATGCAGTGCTATGGAGATGTGGGCTTCATTTGCAGACAACAGTTTCTGGCTTGATCGCTCTTCCACTTGTTACAAGCAGATTCTATACTGAAGACAAAAATAAACCCTGTGCAACTTCACACACTGAAGGGCAAGCCATGCACTTTGCATATCTCAGGATTAAAGCAGAGCGGTTCAGTCAGCTAACAGTGAAAGTGGAAAAGGCAGCAGTGGAAAAGACTAGGGTGATCACAGTAAAGGGGCGCCACCTAGTACAAAGCATTAGTAGACAGAACAGATCCCTGTTCCCTTCCCTCTCACCTCGCACCTGCCAGCCAAAGGACTTTTTGGATGCTCTACTCAACGTAAATCCTTAGTCACCAGGCAAAAAGTCATTTCCACTCCTTTTAGTAAGCTTCAAAACTCAGCACCATCTCTTCTTTTCTGGCATCAGATAGCTATTTTTTTCTCTCTCAATACCAAAACAACTTGCCTGAAGTATGTGAGAAAGGATGTTTTGGACATTACAGGTTTCGTAGTTGAAACCAATGAGTAGAAGAGAAAGATCTGTATGAGCACACAGACAAAACAGCTATCTTTCTTCTTTAAAATTCTGTGGATGTTAATATTTTCTAAGGCAGCAATGACAACCTTACAGCATGTGTGCCAGAATCATCATCTGCAGAACAGCCCTCAGGTCTCTTCCTCTACCTTCTGTCAATGCTGTTACCCCTCTCGTGTCAGTCGGCTGGGAAGGGAGCAGCAGCAGGAGGACGAGTCAAGGTACAGTTGTAGCAAGTGGGGTGGGCTGCGAGTCGTTCACTGTCCCTTCCCAAAAACCTACAATACCTGGCACACTAGGTGGCACTACTGCAATTTTTTTGTGGACTTAAAGGATGCTTTTTTCCCATCTGTTATAACACTATAATCACACTGCTTTTGCAAAGGTCAGTACCTGCACCTATTGGACTGCTGGGGAATAACGTATGACCACTACTAATTTTTAATTCTTCTTTGCTCCTCTAGCACCTTTCTGATTTCACAGTATTTCTGGGTGAGGACCTACTCCTGCAAACTATTACACACATAAGTTATATTTTCTTTGATAACAAAAATAAGACTAACCTTAGCATGCCCAGAAAAGACACTAGCACAGCTAATGCACAAACTTTTGCCAGGATTGCACACAATGAAAGAGTCAGCTTCTTAGGGGAAAAAAAATCCCACACATAATCCTTTGTAGAGATGCAGAGAAGCTGATTTAATTCCACAGTGCACATTGCAGAACCAGACAGTGCAGATGCAATGCAAAATAAATCAGGCTTTCACAGCAGGCATGCATTTCCTCAAGTGTCTTTCAAAGAAAAGGTAAAAGCCCCTTGAATACAAAGGACCAAAGGGGGAAATGAGGAACAACATAACAACTTGTTCCCAAAACACATGCTGACATATGTTATAGGCAAATATACACATACCTTACGTGCTTCATACAGATGACCAAAAATTGATGCCATGAGCTAGTTAATGGTTTCTGATCTCGTCAGGCTTTCATTTGCAAGAAGGTAAGCTTTGGCCAGTTAACAGTAAAATTCATCAGGGCCACCTGAAATCATGATTAATAGGTAAAATGAATCAGAGTAATAATGCATATTTTTTACATCACTGAATGTTATTTTGAAGGTAGGTACCTTCGAAAATGTAAGTGACATTAAATCTTTTCCCAGAAAATCATACAATTCAATTTCACAGGAGATATAATAAGTATGTAACTCAATAATAAGGGGTTGAGGGGCAGACGGGAGATAGTAGCAATAAAAACCCAATAAAAAGTTTTATAAAATGCTTAACCATAAAAACAAGGGTAAAAAGTATCACTGCTGATTCCCTAGCAGGAATCAACAGAGCCAGAGTTGGAGCTTAGGAGACACTGAGTGGGAGGAAAATATTCCATAAGCAGTCTGGGGAAGAGTGAACAAAATTTGCTTCAGAGGTTAAGGCAGATTTGCAGTAATGAGACACCCGGCTATGCCATATAAGTTGGTAGATACTGAAAGATGCAGAGCTTCAAAATTCAGAGAAGCTGTGTTTATAGCAACTAATCTCAAACTCTTCTGGCAACATGACTTCTGGATTTGTGACCCCACTTGTGGTTGTATTTCTGGACTCATAAACCCACTCCTTGTTGCAAGAGCTGGACTTGGCAATTATATTTCCACTAGACCAACTGCACATGATGACACCTGGGATGTACTTACCTTCTTACTCTGGTATTTTTCACTACATCTAACAAATAACCTGAACCCGACCTACATGTCAGTATTTCGCTGTCCCATTGTTTTGTTGAACACACATAAATACAAAACTGTGAAAGATCTCAGTTCTACCTTGAGGCAATTTTTTTCCAGACTAGGTTTTGGGATTTTACATTTGCACTGACACAGACTATATGTAACTAAATCAACTCGAGCTGAGTACTCCTAGGAATAAATCAAGCAGTTCTTGGATTTCCAAATGTATCTGGACAAATAAATTCATCAATAAACCAATGAAAACCAAGAGTAATTGGCACTAATGCTAAGGGTTGGCAACCTAACTTTGTAAAATGCCAGGTATTACATTAAGGTGAAGGATGAACAGGCTTTGGTGCTGACCCCTTAAGTCAAGTCACATGGATTAATTATCACCAGAGTAATTATATATTGTCAAAATTAGTTTTTCCTGACTGATGTTTCCTAATTACATATCATAAATATGTTTAATAGTATTTACTAGGGAATTTGGAAATTAAAATTTGAAAGAGTTCTGAAAATTAAAATCTCTTTCCTAACATTTTACACTGTGCAGGAACAGAAGGATGTAGCGCTTTTGAAGCTTGACTGTATGTCTCTGAAACAGCCAAAGATAGAAGTTCATATATTCTGTGAGTTGTATTTGTAATAGCTATTCATAAATTTAGCTTCCCTCCATGGCAATATATGGAACAGCTATTGAGAAAACAAATTTACTAAAACATGTTGAAGTCTGCCAGACAAACTTGATTTTTTAATAGTAATACAAAATTAATGAATAAAGAGCAGAAGCTATACTGTCACATGTCTGAATTTTAGCCGTATACTGTTTTCTGTGGGATATTTTAGCACTGAGCTTAAGATGTTCTCAAGTTACGAAGACAGTTTCCACCTTACGTTGTGGCTGCAGTAGAGGACTCCTAACTTTGATCCTCTAAATTGAGCATTAATTAGAAGCCTCTGCTGCATTGTTGATTAGCCTTCCATCTCCTGTTTCAAATGTGTCAAAATTCTGCTCCCAAATTTAAATCAAATTGGAAATGAACTATCATGTTGACTGAAATGAAGGGTGATAATAAACAATGAAGGGTAATGATAAACAACAACTTTGAAGGAAAGCATTTAGTGCAGTACACAAAGATTAGTATTACTTCTGATCTCATTTAATAGCTTTAATAATGAGCTAGAAGAGGGAGTAAATGGTACATTAATGAAATCTGCAGATCTATTAAACTAGGAGGAGCTGAGCACAGTGCTGAAAATGGAGAAATAATACAAGGGGTCACGGGAAGATTAGAAACATGGGCAGAATATTGCAGTGAGATTCAGTTTAGAAAACAGAAGAATATTTGGGTAAAAAAAATCAACAGGTGATAACAGGCAAAAGTCTGGAGAGCTTTCATGCTGGAAGAGATTTAAAATTAAGAACATCAGGAAAACTAGGCAAGTATCTCTAATTGAGCAGCAGAGAAAAACAGTGAAATTTTGGCAAAACTATTAAAAAATAAGCAAAGAAGTAATGACTCATCTTAAGCATCTCTGCAACCATCAGGGTTTTCTACATTTAGTCTGGGCACCGGAAAAACAGGCTCTAAGTCACATGGTTAGAAATTCTGCAGCTATGGAATTTTTTCCTGGAAGAAAACTTAAAAGTAACCCATCCATTTAACAGAGAGTTGTCCTTCATGAGGGGAATGGCAGAACACTGAGCCACTGGCTAAAAGACCATAAAAGAGCGTAAGACTGAAGAAACAAAATGTTCTCCTACTGCTTCTGGTAATCGCATCATGCAGCTTATTTTTTTTGATATTGCTGAGGAAACTGCTGATGTAATGCCAGCTGCTATGTGCTTGGCAATACCAGATATATATGCACAATAACTTGGGATAGCTAAAGCTAGTTGTGAGCAAGTTAATTCCAGTTGAAGAACTCACACAAATTAATCTTGCTGGGAGTAACTCTAGACAAGCTACAGTGGAGTGCCAAATTAGTGTTACATCACTCCCTGTACCAGACACAGTTTTGGCCATTCTGCATGGCACAGAATTAGGATGCATAGTATGTATGTAAAGTGATATTCCAAGTTGGTCATCAGTCTTCAAAAGTCCTTGGTAGCTCTTGACTGCTTAAGGCATTGTCCTTTATTGCTGAGTGCCTCCATACAGGTTTTTAAGTGGGCTTGGACGCTCAGGAGTTTGTCACTGTCACTATGTTGTGACCCAACACTAAGTGTTCAGATAGCAAGGCATTGATCCACAGCTTTACATTTGCACACTTCAGTAGAAAACCTGGCAAAAGCCCTTTCATGTAAAACCATGCTCTATTCATTTATATCTCAGCATGTCCTGCCATTCCTCGTGTCTGGATTGTTCATCTTCTAGGTGAACACGCTTAAAGGCAATGAGCCATCATGCAAAAATGTCAAGATAAAAAAAAAAAAAAAGTATATATATGAAAACCAATGTAAAAACCATCAGAAGCAGAGACAGATCCCTTGTTTTTTTGTGAATGTGACTTATTTGATGAGACAGCAGCCCTTCACTGATGTTTCAGGGAGACCTGCCTATGTTTTACAGAAATTGAGAGTTTCAAGCCATTTGTAGAGCTACCTACAGGCAAACTTGCTTGATATGATTTTTTCAGGAAAACATCTGCTGTACTTAATCAGATTGGCTGCAACTGGTTAGAATGACACATCTGAGTGATTTTAAACTAAATGTGTTAACATTTTTAAAATAGAAGGCAAAGAAATCTTATGTGCATGTGAAAGCAGTGTAGTTTCCCTATTTATGTCATGAATCTGCAGGCTATTTCACTACACAGCTGAATTTTCAAAATCATGTACATATAATCCTTGCTGCACATACCACGTTCTGCTTAAAACCAGTATGTCCCATTTTTTTACAAGTATGTACTTCAAAATCCTAGCACCTTATCCAAGAGTTATCTCACTCTGGAATATCATTTAAGTGTCCAAATGAATGAAAATCCAGAGAACAAATTTGACTCTTTTGAAAATGTGGGCCCAGTATCTGTCCTGACGCTTCTGAAACTTCTCCCTTGTTAACAGCTAAATCATATTTACCCTTAGAAACATGTCATATCATAGGGATGCTGGGGATGGACTCTTCATTAGGGACTGTAGTGATAGGACAAGGGGTAATGGGTTAAAACTTAAACAGGGGAAGTTTAGATTGGATATAAAGAGGACATTCTTTCCTGTTAGGGTGGTGAGGCACTGGAATAGGTTGCCCAGGGAGGTTGTGAATGCTCCATCCCCGACAGTGTTCAAGGCCAGGTTGGACGAGGCCTTGGGTGATATGGTTTAGAGCAAGGTGTCCCTGCCCATGGCAGGGGGGCTGGAACTTGATGATCTTAAGGTCCTTTCCAACCCTAACCATTCTATGATTCTATGATTTTATTCCTGGGAGATTACATACGTGATGCCTGTATTATTCTCCCACTCTAACACTCACAGCTTTCATATTTCCTAGCACAGCTTTTCTTGCTTTTGACCCCATGCGCATCAACAAGAACAAGTCAAAGCAGGAAAGAATTAGTCTGTCCTCCCCACCACATGCACTCATCCAACCACAGCCCTGCCGCTGTTGCACAGCCAGGAGGCACAGGTGTGTGCTCCCGTCACAACACCCAGTTGTTAAGAAGTTTGAGTGTTTACAGGGATGATGCTTAGTCTCACAGTCTATCAACCTACTGATATCAGTGGAAGTCACCAGTCAGCGCATTGACTATGACTAATGACACTGACTATGACTTTAGCAAATATGCTTGAAAAGCTTCTTCCACCAGTCAGGATTAAGAAATCTCATTATATTTGTGTATTTACATAAAATTCACTTCCCTATATATGGAACTATCTACTATTAAGCAGCAGCATACTATGAGAGACAGTAGTTATTACTTTTCAAAAGATTTGTGCCATGCCATTATGCTGTAAATATTTTTTCCTTTTGCAAGAAACACTACACATTGTAATCTTCATTCTTAACTTGCAAAACATTAGTGAACACTACTGTTTGCACCTGGAAAGGGAGATAAGTAGGTACAGCAGTACTTTAATTTGAGAAAGTAATCCAGATACCTATTTGAAATGCAGCAAATACAGGTTATTTTTCAAACAACTTATGATTTACATGTATATTATTTTTGGTCTTCTGAACAATATTACAGATGTGCAGTGAGGTCTCAGAATTATGTTATTCTGG